GAAGAAGAAGAAGAAGAAGAAAAGATGCCTAACATTTAGTATTTAGATTACTCTTCCTCTCCCAATTGTGTATGCATGTGGATGTGTTACTATAGATGGGTGAACTTACAGCATCTGTCTCAATAACATTGTCAGCTTCTTCATAATCAGCCATGTCAGGTATATCTTCTTCATCATCACCCCCAAAATACGAAGGGATTGCTTTAACAGTCTTGTTCTTGCTGATTTCTACGGATTCCATGGAAGGCAAGTTTTCCTCCACATCATTTTTATCTACGAGTGAGAAAGTGGTATGAGTCCAAATTATCTATTTAACTTCCAATCAAGAACAACTTGAAGAACTAAAATACCTTTAGGTTTCCCATGGGTTGCCAACCAACCATCATTATCTTCATTATCAAGAAGAATCTCCCCCCCAGCAGCTTCATACTCTTCTTCCACAGATGCAGCTCTCCTTAGGCATGGTACTAAACAGAAAAATAAATTAAAATTACATGGGCATAAACTAACTCAAAAAAGTTCAAAATGTGACATAATGATCAGAGATCATACACAATTCAGCACAACAGACATCACATCCGAAATTATATTCAAAATTCAATTAATCCGCTCAACCATATTACCGAAACAATTGGTGCAGAGCATCATGATAGGAAAGGGATTTTCCTCCCCCAATATGGTGTTCCACAAGGCATGAGAAATAATATAATCAGAACAGAGTTGTTACACGAAATTTAGATGAGGATTGGATAAAAGGGGTATACAAAGGAATTCTCACATCATCAATGTCATCAATATGTCGTCGTAATGACAAAGAAAGCTTTACCACCTAGATTGGTGGTTCACTGCAGCAATAAATCCAGCCTCTTATTCAAATTCACTTACAGATGGAAATAATTCAAGTCCAAATATGCATTCATCCAAACTTCAGTCTTCTATACCTCCATCCTCACAAGTCTCAACTCTCAACCATAACCGTTATGTAAGTAAAAGGGAATTATAATTTCAATGAAAAACATGAAAAACAGGTTCAACACAATAGCCAATCTTATTATTCATATATTAGTACCACAAATCCACATACAATCGAAAACATTACGGTGCAACTATTGACAGCATGGTAAGCAATACAAGAAAAATAGAATGTGAACGACACAAGAAAAAAAATCTCAATTACCATTTCTAGTAATCAAGTACTGCTTCTCAGCTGGTAAGTAGGACTTTCTCTTGCTCGGTTCACCTGATTCCCTGACATCATGCAACACACTGGGTAAGCTACAACAAGAAAAATACGAGACAGAACGGAGAATGCATTCTTTAGTTCATAATCTAAAATTAAACCGGTACACAGCAACAAAATTGACTGTTGACTAATTACACAAGCTGCAAGATGCTTCACGGAAAATTTCAGATGCTTCCAATTCTTCATTGATAATTTCAAAGTAATATGCAATTATTTATCAATTCTTCAGCACCTCAAACTAATATTGCCAACTACATCTTTCACCACACTCTATCTTGATCAATTATTTACAAACGTTAAGCCCTAAACCAAGAACTTATTTTCTTCTCTTAGATTACGTTAACGCATTAATCCATTAGCGATGCAGATTCTAAAACCATCAATAGAATGATATAACTGCAAATTAACAACTGTAGATTGATTTTCCAAACATAAAACATATCGATTATATGAGAAAGGACCAGAGATTAAACATATTAGCGTGAAAATGAAATTACCAGGACCAGGTAGGGCATTTGGATACAAGATTGTCTCCGGCAAGGATGAACTCCGAGACGCTCAAAACTCCTTTCTCCTTGAAAGCGGAGACAGTACGAGGCCCGGTGATCCTCTCCACCGTCCCTTTGAACGCTTCGTGAAGCTTCTGCGACAGCACCATCCCTCTCTTCTCTCTAACGAAAACCTGAATTTATTCCGGCAAAACACAATCAGAGACGAGAACTGAAACCCGCACGACTCAATTGAGAAGGAATCCAAACCCTAGATCCGCACGGACACGGGAAAAGCACAGAAATGGAATTTTGGTATTTCACCTAGATGCGGCCAAGGACGGTGGAAACAATATTAAAAAGAGGTACATATAATATTGGCCGACTAAATAATAAGGATAGAATCTTTCAATCGCTTATCAATTAAGGACGGAAACAATTATTAAAAATTAAAAAAAGGATGGAAATTAATTTTATCTTGATTTAAGGAAGAAAAAATAATCAGAAATATTTCAGTTAAAAAAAAAAAAGGGAAGAAATTAAGCATGTCATTAAGAGTTAAGGGGGCGCATGACAGAGCATTTCATTTGATTTTTTTTTTTTCCCTTATCTTGAATTAGATAATGAGAAATTTTTTTTTATTTTTAATTTATTTATTCATATGTTATGTAATTTTAACTTAAAATAATTTTTTTATTAAAAAGATATAATTACTAAATTATTTAATTTATTAACTTCATTTAACATGTTATTCACCCAACTCATATTGAAAAGGGTAGTGTTATTAGAATAATTTTTTTGTCTCTTTTTTTTTATACAATTTTTATATGTCATTAAATAAGTAAATGTATTCACTATCATGGGTTTTACATGAATTAAAAGAATTAATTATTTTAATAACACATCAGATTATATAAAAAAATTAGATAAAAATATTGTATAAAAATATTATACAAATATCATTTCCATATTGAAAATACACGTTCTTAAATTTTTAAAGCGAAATTTAACCAACAATACACTTACATTAATTAATACAATACTAAAACTTTAACTTGAGAGTCAAACTTTGAGTGTTTCAAACTTCTTCTTTTTCTTTTTCTTTTCTTTTCCTTTTTTTTTTTTTAGTTTGTACTTTAAAATATAGGGATTTAAATTCTTGGTAAAATTCTGTCTTAAACTCCTGAATTTACCTTAGATTTTCAATTAAATCCCTAAACTTTTATTAAAGCAAATAAATCTTTAAATTTGTCAATTTAAGCGATTTAACCACTTTCCTCATCACAAACCCAATGTTCGTTTATGCTTTATTTGCATAGATAAAATTAATACCATCACATAATTAATGACATATCAATATTTTATTCACATAAACTATGCATATATGGGTGTTAAGTCCATTGTAAAGAAAATGGGTTAAAGTACCTAAATTGCAAAGTTTATGAGTTTATTTGTTTCAATAAAAATTTAAGAGTTTAATAAAAAAAATCTTAAATAAATTTAGGGACTTAATAATAGGATTTTGCTTAAATTCTTAACACTAACTTCTATTCTCTACAATACTAGACCATGAACTATACTTACACTTTGCAGTAAGAGGTTATTCCTTTTATTATTATTATTATTATTGAGATTTTAAAATTAAAATTTTAAATTCTTTATTAATTAATCCACTCCTTACAACACAATTGCTAATTGTTAGTAAGTATAGTACCAAGCAACCAAGTTTCTAATTCCTAAAAAAAAGTTACTAGTGTGATGAGAAAGTAAGGCCATACATGAAATTATTAGGGTTACACTATTTTTTTTTTCAAAAAAAAAA